ATAGCTCCACTGGTTTTTTCCAAAAAATGGCTCTGAAATCACCCCCAATTTTTATTACATTTTCCGATGCATATTGATGTACTTATGCCGCATAGCAAGTTTGAGCTGATTTCCACTTCAATTTTTCAAGTTACGGCCATTTTAAGAAATGATCCAAAATCTCAAAAATACCCAAGGCTATAGCCCATGGGTTTTTTCCAAAAAATGGCCCCAAAATCACCCCCCTCCTCCCCATTTTTATTACATTTTCTGATACATATTGATGTAATTATGCTGCATAGCAAGTTTGAACTGATTCTGGCTTCAATTTTTCGAGTTGTGACCATTTAAAACATACATGTACATGTACAGCATTGTGATTCCATTCTTAAATTTTTTTATTTTTATTTCAGAAACTGAATCACACTGGCTTCAGAAAGATACTTAAAAAACATGACAAAGTCAGTATTTACATGTACTGAACTACATGTACATGTACTTATACATGTATATATTATTTATTTATTTATTGATGCATGTACTGTAGCTTGCAAGTTCAGATCGTGGCAGCAAATTTTTCAAAGAAAATGTCGAGAAATTGTACTTTCACAAATCGAAAGAAATCAATGCCCTCATTCAAAAAACTGAAGTATGAAAAAACTAACTTTAGTTTTTGGATTATTCTGTATTTTTATCCATTGTCCCTCTCTTCACAGGATATTATGATAAACCAACTGGAGAATGGTAACCGCGGTCGGGCCATGGCTAAGCTCCGTGTCCCCCCACTGGGCGGAGTCTCTTCACCGTGGGCTATACTGGCCAGTGGGTGGCTAATGGGAGCCATTTTTATAATGGCAGTAGTCGCCATTATAGCTTGTAAGACTAAAAATACATGTACACGTATTTTATTATTACATGTACATGTACACAGGTGTATATCGGAACCATAGTCCCTTACCATGGTCCCCTGACACTGGTGTGTTACTGGGTCTTCGGTCTGGTTTCGTTCTTTCGGTTTGGTTCTTCTCTTTTGCCACTAATACTTACTTCTGGAGGTACTTTGGTGTCAATAACGTCTTGATATTTGGGTTTGATCCGAGAAATCATCTCAACTTCCAACAATTGTTTGCAGTAAGAGAA